TATACAGTTATACCACTTAGGTATCACATTTATATTTTAGCATCTTTTTTCCTGCAGCAACTAGATGTAAATGCATCCCACTTTTATATACTAAAAAAGAAAATAAATAGATTTTTATTGAAAACACAAGTAGCCATATAAATTTGTTGCCAAAAAGTAATTTGGCAAAGAATCATCATACCAAATATATGTCTAGTGCAAGAAATGCATTTTATTTCTTTGCAATTCAAATGCTATGATTCTACGATATATGAGTTCTATAAAAACATTGAAGCATTATATCAATCTCTCTTTGGAATATTTCGGCATGTTCTCCTGTTGTGTCTTTTTCTCCCGCATAGTGCACATGTAACTGTATTTCCTTCCCAGCCTCCTATGCCTTTCTTCTTTTTAGGTCTTCCTGGTTTGATTTTTCCTTTTGGTGGCAGAACCACCTGCGAAGAGACATGTTCTGAAATTTGCCACGTTGTTTCATCAGGCAAAGAATTTACTGGTATGTCATATGTTTTCAGCAAGTAGTCTATGTTGTAGTAATCTGAGCAATACTTGTATGAATCCATATGGAATTTTTGTATAACTGCCATTGCATGTGGGCATGGAATATCGTCTAGCTGAAACCTCCCACAAGTGCAGTATTTTTTCATGTAGGCGCACCACATTTCTTTTTTTGGCCATCAATTACTAAATGTAAGAATTCAATTGATGGCAACACCTAGTATAATTTTAATTAAGAAAAGTCATTAGCTATATGAAGTAATAGTATTTTTTAAATAACAATATTCAGTTGTTTAGTGAAATCACTAAGGTAAAAAAAAGTAAAACTATAGTACATGCAGTGTTTTTATGATTTTGAAAATGCATACCATCATCGTCTGTGATAAGATAATATTATCTGCCAATATTTTTTCATACTTTGCACCTATCTTTATAAATGGTTCCACTGCATCCTTCCGATTGGTGTAATTCTATTTTTGAATCAATGTTGTCATAAAGTCAAGCAAATTCACAACTGGGAGGTCTCTTGCGTGCTTGTTTGCTGCATTTACTGATTCCGCATTATTCGATGTCATGGTCATGGTTCTATTTGCCTTGGAATGCGCCCGGGACCATTTATCATATCCAATATCCACCAGGTATGTTTTCACTCTACTATCAATAGCTTCTAACTTTGCTATATGCCTGTTGAATTCTTCAACAGTGTATGCTCTTGCTAACGCAAAGTATACTTCTTTGATTTGTTTTTGGCTCTATCTGTAGTTTGTCTTTATGTTGTTCCACAGATGGAACATACATGCACAATGAGGGACTTCTGGATAGACAATTGAAGTTGATCTCCATATACCATCATGCTTGTCTGATACAATGCACATTCCCTCTCTTTGTCCATAGGTTTCTCTGAACTGCACGAAGAACCACTCACACGATGCATCATTTTTCGAATCAACAATTGCATATGCGAGGGGTAGAATTTGTCCTGTAAACCCAAAGAACAAAATATCAATTACAACACACTATATTAATTTAGCTTTTCATATAGTAGTATAGTCATAGGTAGGTGCAGGTGTGTAGCAAAATAACTATATACTCTGTTGGTATACTTGTATACCATACTGGTATCATATAATATTTGAAAATCTTTTTTGTTTCTTTAACTGAATGTAATTGGATTGTACACACAATATTAATTTAGTATTTCATATAGTAGTATAGTCAAAGGTAGGTGCAGGTATGTATTAAAATAACTATATACTCTGTTGGTATACTTGTATACCATACTGCTATCATATAATATTTGAAAATCGTTTTTGTTTCTTTAACTGAATGTAATTGGATTGTATTCTTACCCTCTGCGTCTTGCATGGAAGCCGTGAGTATGGTTCCTTTATATGTTGACTTTAAAAAACTTCCATCAACTACAACTGTTGGCCTACAATAGATCCATCCTCTAATCGATGCATATATAGCTTTGAATGCATACAAGAAGCTCCCATCTCCTTCAGTGTGTAGTCGTGTCACTGATCCTGGGTTAGCGTACTCTAACATATAAAGATATGTTGGTATTTTCTTGTATGACTCACTTGGTGTTCCTCTCAACAATTGCATTGCTTTTTCTTTTGATCTTCATGCTTGCATGTAGCTTATGTCCATACCATATGCTTTTTGGATGTCTCTCTGGATATCTGTTGGTGTATATATAATTTTCGGGTCAACAAATTTATCGTGTACCACAGCTGCAACAAAAGCTGAGACATCTTGCTATTGTGAACAAAATCTCTTATCAGTTAAACAACTATGGACAGAATTGAAATCCGTCACTTTGAAAAGATTTGATGCTCGCAGGCTTGATGTTTTAAGTCTCCAAGTGCATCTTTCATCCACGCATTCAAGGGTATACCTGTTTATAATACAAATACAGTTATGTATCATGTTTTATTGATAAAAAACACACACAAAAATCCGTACAATTATATACTCACATAGTATACTCATATAGCATACCTATATACTATATCAGTATCATATTTTGCTGATAAAAAACATAGACAAAGCAGCACAATTATATACTCACATAGTATACTGATTTAGCATACATATATACTATATTGGTATTATATTTTACTGATAATAACAAAGACAAACTAGTACAGTTATATACTCGCATAGTATACTGATATAGCATACTTATATACTATACCAGTATCACTGAGAAAAAATACAGACAAACCAATACAATTTCATACTCGCATAGTATATTGATTTAGCATACTGGTATAGTATATAGGTATCACATAGCTTTTTACTTGAAAACATGCAGACGAACCTTCTTGGGCATGATTTATTAACCCGATATTGACATTTTTCTCTAACAGCATATTGTTTCATACGAGAGCCAGCAGGTTCTTGTCTTTGTAAATTTGTCCTTTTTCAACTTTTTGATGAAATTGATCAGTTATGATGTTTGCATCATCAAGTTCTAGACTGGTGTCATCTCCTCCTTGCACATCAAACGTACTAATCATATCAGTGCTTTCAAATTGTGCAATTTCTGATGAAATTGGAGCAACATCGAAACTGGAGGTGCTTGCAGCTATAGTATTTTTAGCAAACGACACCAGGGGAAGCGTTGTCATCCCTGCACTTGATTTTTCTAATTCCATGTAAACACTAACACTCATATCACTGCAAATTGTAATTGGTGGATATCCTTGAGCAATAGCATACTGAATAACTATTGTGTTACTGCCCTTTTGCAGTTGCTTTGCAATTTCTCTGAGAAGTTGTTCAAATTTCCAATAGGTCTTTATTAGAATTGCATCAACATGAAAATTTATAAAATTATTGTTATCATCCCATTCTCCACTATGCTGCAGCAGAATTGATATATTTTCCATGATTCTGAAGTTATAATCACTTTTATGTCCAAAAGTGAATCTCAACAATGCAAATTTCAACTATGTTGATGTTAAATATTGAATTTCAACAAAAGATTTTTCGAAATCAAACCTCTAGATCTCCAGATCTCCAAACCGAGAATAAAATTTTAAGCTAAAAATTCAAAAGTTTGAGCGCTAAACTTCTGTAATACTTATAATTTTTGACATTTTGCTTTGCCAGCGAAATCAAAATCCGAAAACAAGATGCGAATCAGCATCTTCGATCTGTTTTTTCACACTTAGCGATCTTCAAATTAGGGGATGTTGAAAATCTCAATTTTGTGCGCTTATTTTCTGAACTTTTGAGCAGCTTTTGGGTTTTTATAGGTAGGGCATTAAGCGTGGGATAGTTATTTTGATATACCCGTTTGTTTATTAAATGGGTAGGAGATTGTAATTATTTAATGGGTAGAATTCTTTTATAGGTAGAGCAGGATAAATAGTTTCACTTTTATAGGTAATCCTGTCTTTTCCCCCATGAAAAATGGGCCCATAGAGGCCCGATGGGTTTTCAACGAGACAAAACTAACAGTAAGTGGGCATTCCTCTTTTAAGATGGCTACAAACTGGTGTTCCTGCATTTACTTGTGGGCCTTTCTTGTTCCCTGCTTATTTGTGCTGAACACTGAACCCTTCATTTTGGTGCCATCATTTATACATAAAAAGTAGGAAAATTTATGCCACACAGTAAGCGTATACACTGTATTTATTATTTATAGCTATATTTGAATATTATATTAAATTTACCTACAATATTGAAACAAGAGATCAATTGTTTTGAACTCAAAACAAGAGAGCAACAAGCCCTCGTAGCTAAATTGGAACCTCTAACTTTTACAATTCTACCTAAATCTATTACCTTTAATATTTGTCTTTTCTATTTATCGATTGTTAAGAATACTCAAAGATTCAACTTTACGAATTAAACCCAAATATGAACATTGGAACACTATAGGGGCAAATATGCAATCTCCTGTCAGCAAGGCGTCTAATATTTTCCCCCACATGTGCTATTGTTGGTGACGATCTCGATGGTAAATATTTTGACAATCTGCTAATAGAATACTTCCACAAAGATGATTCGTTTAGGAGGGTGCATCTAAATCTTGATATTTATAGACTTTTGTTGAAGGGTGTGAATTAGGGGGAGGGGAGGGGAAATATACTTGAACGAGCTTTATATATAAACCAACCACTGTCACAACAAATCAGGAGCAAGGATATCTAACTATGAAAAAACAAAATCTTAGAGTCAAGCACTAGCTTTGATGGCAGTGTAGGTTATCTGTTGCTTTAGGAAGTTGTATCAGATTTGGTCTCAAAACTGCGCATTATGCTAATTAGGTACACCAAAAACAATGATTAAGGGGAATAAACATCACAAATAATCTTAATGAACTTCTAGCCGACTAAACAAATAGCAATTTTTAAATTTAATCAACTACAACATACCTAGTATATTTTCATAGTAGGAGATTGGAAAGGATAGTGTGTGCAGACCTTAACCTTATCTTATCGAGGTAGAGATTGTTTCCTGTAAACGCTCGGCTCAAAAAAAAAAAGGAGTGAGAAGCCATGTGAGAAATATTAATCAACTAAATGAAAAATAAACATATTTGGTAAATGCTGAGACTACTTTCAGAAAATAGAACAATTAAAGAGGACAGCTAAGCTATCATTTCAATGCAGTTAACACCAACTCTTTACCTACTATTACGGCAACCAAAATTCAAAAAGGAATATATACAATTAATATACTAATTCTTTTTTAGAAAGGGAATTCTTAGATGGGATTTGCTCCAACCAGTAGCCCATTTGCTCCAATCTTGATGGGCATGATTGCCTTGGCAACCTGCGCTTGTTGGCTAGATAGGTTAAACAGTGAATTAGTCAAGATGCACCCAAAGCAGCCTTGTCACAATCGATAACCCCAACAAAGAAAAAAGAATTATTCAGCAGAGTGGTGGCTGAAGAAATCAGCCCCGCTCTCAATGTCATCTGTCTTGATGCTTCCACATTGAGCCATCAATATTCTGTATACTCTCCTTGAACAGATCTCTCCCAATTTTCTATCATCACCCAACATGTTTTCGACTTTCAAATCTTTCAGCAGAAATTCTTTCTCATGTACCTGAATTTTTCAAGTGAAAATATGTCAGGAACTCGTGTTACTCCCAAAGGATCGACATATTTAAGGTATGATATGTATCAAAATCAGATCACCCCGTCACTATTATTTGTTTAAGAGACCAAATAAGTACTACAAAGCAAGCGAACATGTTTCTATAACATTTAAATGTTCAATATTATCAAGTTCTTGTTTAAATGAATCTTTTGACTGGCACCTTAACAGATCCTCATTGCTCAAGAACGAATTACATTTATCAAACAATACCCCAGCTCCGCAATGTAGTAAATCCACTAGTAATTGACCTTTCTTAAGCATATACCCTCCAGATGAACTGAATGTATGACAATCAAATGCAGTTTTGAAGTTTTCCCTCTTTTTAGAAAAGGTCTTCATTATTCGCC